TTTATTATATATATATATATATATATATATATATATATATCAAACTAGAAACAATTATGACCTCCTAATAATAAAGATAAATGGTCTCACCGTATACAACCCTTCATTAATAGTAAACATTAACATAATAAAAAAAGGAAGATGCAGGCGGGGGGAAAGTAAACCGAAACATTAGATTAAGAAATCTTCTAAAACTACTGAAGCAAGGTGCCCACCTTCTTCCTATAGAATGCCACGCCATGGACATTAAAAGGAATTTTTCGAGTACGGAAACATGCTTGAAAAGCCTTTCCTGAGACCTGCATTGTAAGAATAAAGAACCATCAATTTCCCAAAATAAAGCTGCAAATGAACTGAAACAAGGATATTACAGACTGGGCATGCATACCTGCCGCCTATAGAGGATAGCTATACTTCCAAAAGAACAGGGATCAGAAGAATTGTCTGATATCATTTCAGTAATCTTATCAGCCACAAAAGCACATTGTGCATCCTCATTGAGGCACTCCTTAATGGTAATATGAGAACTGTCAAAGAATCTAAAGTACAGAAATTTCTAACTTCTCAAACAGAAAAAATTAGCAACAAAACTATCAAGTGTGCTGATAACTAATCTCAACAGGATACTTTGCAACCAGAAGAATTATCAGTGACAGCTTCCTTAAATTGGCAACGCTTTAAGTTATTCCGGATCAGAGATGATGCAGCCTCAACAATTGAGCGTGTTGAACGGTAGTTCTTCTGTAACCTAACCTGAACTAAAGATCAACATGAGAAAATTTGACACCAATTTTTAAACACAGCCTGGTCAGTTTCATTAAATGGATGCTTTATAAAAACATAGTTTTACTGCTACGGAAAATCCACATTACTATCAAGCACAATAAGAAAGACAGCACAAGATTCTAACCTCTTTCAGAGTGGGAAAATCTCTCCGAAAGGAATCAAACCCTGAAGTGTCAGCACCATTGAAGCTAAAAATGGACTGCATTCGGCATCTACCATATTTCAGACACCTAAAATCATAATAACTAACATTAAAAAGATTTTGAGTCCAAAGGGAAAGATAAATAAATTCACCTGATCATCATCACCAACCACAGTTATCCGATTGTGGGAGGAAAGAATACGTAGAAGATTGTATTGCATGGCACTTGTATCCTGAAACTCATCAACCACTATCGCTTTCCATGTCTCCTGACACTCTTTATAAACTGAATACACAAAAACGTGAACTTTTTATCAACGCCTATCAAAGCTTATTTGACAATGAAATAATAAATTCCAGAGTAGCATTAACCTCCCGGAAATTCCGTTAGTAGCTTTACAGATGAGCTGATAAGGTCATGGTAATCGAGTGCATTGCAGGACCTTAATATGTCCTCATAAAGTACAAGAATTGTTCCCTGACGCAAATTCAAAAATGAGAATGCTGTAGCATGAAGAAGTCCTTTATCTAATGTAGCATAAAGACTTTGTATTAGTACAACATTGAACACCAAAGAAAAATGGCAAAACTCACACTTGAGATATCGCCCATTTTTCGATACTCTTCAGCAGTTCTTCCAGAAGCTTTAGCCTGAACCATGTGCAATAATAGAAAATAATCCCAAAGTGCAACTATGATTAATAATAGAGGAAAGCTATTGCTAAAAAACTTAGATACTGCACAATCAAATGAAAAGTCATACTAACTAGAGAAACAATATGCACAATAATGTCTGCGAAATTGAAACATGATAATAGCCTCTATCAGAAGACCAAGTTAGTGACCATATTAATAATAAAGTCACTTCTCTCTTATAGTTAATGTTTGCTGATAATGGAAACAATATAAGAACATACGAACGAAGTTAGAGCTAGGCAGGAATATTCCATGTGTTTAACATCTTCATAACCACCCCCAATATCATCAATTAGAGATTAAAAACTCACACTAGGTTAAAACTAGGAAGGGCCCTGTTTTGTTATGTTTGGACACCAAGAATCCTAATCCTCAAGTAAAGAGCCTATACAAGGTCTAGATAGGTGTTTGCCTATGTAGAACCGGCTCTCGAAACCCAAGCATAACCTTAAAAATTTGAAAAGGACTGAAAATGGTCTCAAAGATCATCCAATGAAATTCCATGACAGTTGGGTCATAGTTTCCAATTCAGTGCTTATTTAGCAATAGGCAAACCAGCTGTCAAAAAAATAACCTGGGAAATTGGCTAAGATGAGTATGAAACTCTTTATGAAGCATGTTTAGGGTCAAATCAGACCACACAACCAAGTTCACGAAGAATGGCATCATTCTATGAGGATTCCAATCCCCACCACAGTACACCATAGGACAACCCTGCGGCACCAAAGTGAAAAAGTTAAATGATAACAGGTCTAAGGCCCAGTGGATGAACTCTACATAGCTAAAAGGAATAAGGATTAACCCATAAAATTCAATTCGAAAATCTGCAGATCAATTATTCACCATGGTATTGCAGAAATTTCGCGCTTATCCTTTACTTAATGAACATGGTTTGAGGAAAAACACAGGGCTATCTGATGATCTTGGGAAATAAAGGATCTTCAGACACATGTTTTGATGAAGAAATCAGATAAACATTAAGAAATCAAGAACCAACAGGATGCAGAACCATGGTGAACTCTCATGGGAAGAAATTTCAACTCAAAACAGCTCAAAAACAGTACCGAAAATCAATCAAAATGATCACCATGATGTGATGTTTCATCCTACAAATTACAAAATGGTCTAGATCAAATTAACAACAATGTAGCAGCGATCTATGCACAAAGCTTTGGATCGAACAAGAATTCATTCACTTCACTGCTGGCAAGATTTGTATAATTCAAATCTGAATTAAAAAATGTGATTCGAGTTTGAATTGGATAAACTTAAACAATGGAATTCCCAAACGGTGCAGTAAGTACTACTGGATTTGAAGATGGACAGCGCAAGATCGAGCATTGGTATAAAGGATGTTTACTAACTTTAAAAACTCCACAAAAGAGATATAAAAGCACACTTCTGCAGTTAGCAGGGGACCTTTTGGAGAACTTTGAAAGGCAAGACTCGAGAGAAGCACCAATAAGCTACCTCCCTATATAAGATGCTGCCTTCGAGCATCAAGCACCCAAGAATTTCCAGGAACATCGCAATCAACTCTCATCCTTAGGCAGGAGCAAATCCCATGGTTATTTTTTGTTCATTTAAATGTCTTTTCTTGTAGCTGAGCCTTCGATCAAAGGTATTTCGCCAATGTATAAAATGATTATGAATATAAACGAAACAAGGGTTTTACAATCCTTGGAACTCCTCCTTAATCCAAATTTAATACAAAAAACTTCTGATCTTGATTCAATCAGAGTGAATTTGATTTCCCTTTCTGTGTTTCCTATGGTTTATGTTTATTTGTAGTTTATCCCTCATTTGATCATTTCCTTTCTTTAGAACACATCTTGGGAGAATCAGGCCCAACCTAAAGTTACCCAATTCAACAAAGCCAAGTCCATGAAAAGATAATGCAATGACCACAGGAATTGGTGTGACCAGCAGGTTCCCAAAGGTTTTTCAACAGGTCCAGGCACCCTGTCGGACTCAGACGCAAGCAACACAAGCGAGTCCAAGCCAAAGTCTCCAACTTTCGAATCACTTTTTCACCAATTAGTCAACAAACGCACAGGGACCACTAAGGACATTCTGGAAAGCAACAACTAACAACTTCCTAATCTAAAAGACCTTTTCCCCGATGTCCAAGAGCCACTACAACAGTATTCCAGTGGCGTCTAGTCAGCCATGGGGTCCTGAGTGCCTGCCCCAACATCTAAACAGGCGCCCAGGTTCAACAGGGGGGCAAGGGATGTCAGGAAAACCTGATTTAGGTAATTTAGTATAAAAAATGCATATTCAGGCTCTCTTTATACATTTTATGTGGAATCACGTCAATTAAACTAGAGGGGAATTTTTATAGGACGATTGTAAGATCAGTCATGCTTTATAGTACGGAATGTTGGGCGGCCAAGAAACAAAATATGATAGGGTGAGTACAGCCGAGATGAGGATGTTGAGATAGATAAGTGGCAACATAAGAAAGAATAGAATTCAAAATGAATACATACGAGGGAACTTAGATATGGTTCCAATAGGCTATAAAATTAGAAAAAGTAGACTCAGGTAGGTTGGTCATATACAGTGTAGACCTAATACATCACCGGTTAGGAGGGGCAGATAGGTTCAAGTGGAAAGCTCTAAAAAGGCAAAAGGAAGGCCCAAAAGGACATAGATGGAAGTAGTGAAAGGAGATATAGTGACTTATGGTTGGACAGAGATTATGACCCTTGATAGAGTACAATGGTGGAATAGGATTTGTGTAGCCAATCCTGAATAGTTGGGATAAGGATCGGATTATGATGATGATAATGTGGAATCATGTCTAATCCAAATAAAGTACTATAATACTACTAAAAATACATATTCCATAACCAATTAACCTAACCGTGATCCTTACCAATCCATAACTTTAATCCATAGTTCCATGATCCATTACCCATAGTAACCAAATAAAAATAAATCCATAGACTCACTCCATATTCCATAAGCATAAACCAGAGTATGGTACCATTCTACCATACATATTTAAAAACAAGTATGAGTATATGACAGTAACACATTAGCACATCATAAAATATGAAAATCGCATAATCGAAACTAAAGTACGAGCAAAACCAAAAAATCAATACAGCCACATCCATAATCTATCCATAGTCTATAATCCACAGTTCATACGATTCCATAATCCATAAACATAAGAGGAGAAAATAAGAAAAAATTTGGACTTGAAGACTTATAGCCCTCTACTAAGTTAATACAATTTTTATCCTTCGGATTCGAGTTATAACCATACTTCCAGCCTAGATTACCACTTCTAGTAGAACCAAAAGAGGACATCGAAATAACAAAAAAAAAAAAATCTCAAATACCTAGATTTTACTAACCTTTATGCTTGATCTTCAACCATCAATGTTTTAGAAGTTTGTCAATCTCAAAGGCTCTCTAATAGCACAATGATCAGCTTCCTAAATGAATAAGATCAGTGTTTCAAAAAGCGCTAGGTGGCACCTAGGCGGCTGGTGGATCCAGGCCGCCTAGCACCTAGGCCGGCACCCAGAACCTGGGCGACCCAGTAGAAAAAAAAAATTGGGTTTTCTCTCTAAAATAGCCTTTAATGGGTTTTAGATTTCAAATGAATTTAAAACCCACAATTTTTCCCTTTTAGTATTAAAAAAATTATCCAAAAATACCTTTAAGGAGCCGCATTTCCGTCCCTGGGCTTGGCGCAAGCCCTGGGTGGCCGCCTAGGCCTGGGCGATGCGCCCAGGCCTTCTGGACTGCCTAAGCGGCCGCCCAAGTGCTGGGCGGTTCACTTTTTACAACACTGACTAAGATTGAATACAAAACAAAAGGATGATGTTGGGATGAATTTTCAGAAGCTTTGAATTCGAAGATGAGTCCAACCAAATTTGCAATTCGAATAATTTCTTGAATTTTTTTGGTATTTTAGAGAAAAATGAGATTAGGGGTTTAAACCCACATTCCCCCCTTATTTGGAGGGCAAAATTATCGCAATGCCCCCTCCCAAGGGGGGTTTCCAACCGTAGGCGGGTACAATCTCTGGGCGCCGCCTAGGCTAGTTGGTAGGCGCCCACAAACACCCTAACTAGAAGGCCCGCCCTAGCCTGGGCGAGGCGCCTAGGTAACTTTGGCTTGCCTAGTTGTTACGTGAGCCGCTTTTTAGAACACCGCACAACAAGTTCGATGAACGGTCTCTCAGACATCTCCCATTTGAGCACCTATAGTAAATCGCAATCCACATAAAGCAGTCCGAACCAAGGCTTAAAACATTATCAAGTCAATCTAGGAAATGCTGAGTCATTGTGGATCCGGAGGGTATTGAGGCCATGTCACAACCAAAATTCAGCAAGTCAGCCAGGATGCCCTTTTTTATTGTTCTTCAACAACCCAAAATAGAAAAAATTTAATCTCTCTCCCAATGCTTCACGAAAATCTCTCAAACTTGTTCCAATGTGTTGAATATTGTTAATCTACAATAACCCTAACTAAATTTCCCCAATAATACCGTAAAATTTATGAACCTTGAAGGTTAAAATTTGACTTGCATTTTTTGTGCCATTTTTCAAACATAATGCACCTTTATATCTATTTCTCATTGAATACACACCAAAATCCTTTGATATTTGTTTCAAAGGTGATCTTTTTAACCATCTAACTAATGCACGTTCGTTTTTTTTTTGGATTGGAGCTCATTTTTTGAAGAAATCTAGAGTGAAATTTTTAGGGCTTTTTTCATCCAAATATTGAAAATCTTTGATTTCTCACTCAATGTTTCTCTAAATTTGTTCAAATTTGTCTCAAGATGTTCCTAATATATTGACCTACAAAACACGAGCAAAATTTTAGAATCAAAACCAAAATTTGCCAGATCAATTTCTATTTTTTTCTTCAATATTTTTTCGTCCATTTCTCCAAATTAGGAAACATTTTTACATTTTAATTTTTTATTTTGATGTTGATTGAAATGTCTCATTATATGAATTGAAATATTTGATTTGGACTTTATGAATTTATATATTTTTATTTTTTTTTACTTTTTTGTTTTTAAAATTATTACTTTGAATAATTTGTGTTGTCTTTGGTAGGGTTCAAATAAATTTTAATATTTGTAAAGATTCCTGTTTTACTTAACCTTTTTATTTGATTAAGGGTATATCCCAAAATTAGTTTTTAATAATATTTTCATTTATAAAAAATTCAAAAAAATAGAAACTTCTGTAAATTGGAAAGATATTGTTTTTTTATTTTATTTATTATGCTACAGGTTATGTTGGATAGGGTTTTAGATAACTTCTTAATAATACTTGCATTTATTTAAATTTTTTGTCTCAACTTAGGATTTCCCTAAAAAAGTTTGAGAAAAATCTAAACCGTTTTATGAATATTATAATAATTTTTTTCTAGTCTGTTTTAGGTAGAATTTAGTTAATTTTTAATAATATTTTTTTATTTATTTTTTTGCATTTGTTTAGGTTTTTCCTTAATATTTTTGAGAAAATTCAAAAAACTTTATAAATCTTATATTAAATTTTTTGTTAGCTAGGGTAAAGAATTTATCATTATTGTATTTTTGTTATGTAGGGTTTAGATTTTAACTCTTTGGCTTATTTGTTCCGTTTTTTTTTGTATTTACAGCATTTTAGACTGTGAAATGACTATGTGTTACAACACAAGAATCAAATTCTCGGTATTCTCACCTTTTTGGATGATTTCATCAAAATCTATACCATTTCATCATTTTTTTAGCAAATCAACTCATTTTCATTTTTAAGATCTTTTGAATATTTTCAGTGTGGCCAAACGGGTGAATCGATCAAAGTCAGCAGGTCGACCAAGTCAATCGGGAACCAATTGGTGACCGGTTTGGCCACTCGATCAGATTTTCTATACTTTGTCCAAACAATTGATGGGTCAGTCTAGCTGAGAAATCTTGTTTTCCAATTTAGTAGGATACCAGACACCAAGAGGTCCAAAGAACAACTCGAGAAACTAACCTCCATACATCCAACAATCTTGTGCCCAAGCATTCTAATGCTAAAGAAGAGTGGAACCATGTGTCTTCCCTTCATAAAGAGAGGAAAGATAGAGTTAGTAGACCGCTAACCCTGTTAAACATATAACCAAAATGGAACACCAGTAGGAACTCCAACAAACAGGTCAGCAGGCTTAAGCTTCATCCTAATGTTTACAGTATGGATTGGACTCCAGAAACCAACCTCATGGTGAGTGCTGGCTGTAAAGTAGACTGATCTTTTACGAGAATACGCCAATGACTAGTGTAATGAAACTGCTCATGAATGCTCATGACACTACTACAGATATTAAAAAGTTTATTCTAAGCAAGTTGAAGATTACAAGCCCCTCCCCATAGGTAATTGCACCAATCAGGACAAGAGAAAAGAGTAGACCACTTTAAAGTGTTTGAGAAAACTACAATTTGTCATGGAAGTCAGCTCCTCTCAATCACTGAAAGTTAAGTGCCAATGAACTGAGTTTGTTACTAATTAATATGAGCATTACATGCAATGGTGGACATGTTCAGTACATTTTGGTCTAATTGTGCAGCAGGAAGAAACAAAAACTAACCGTCAGACCATGAAAACGGAAGAACAGATCAATAACAAAAGAAATTGAGCAAAATATTAGCTCCATGCATCAGCAAAACAGTAAACATAAAACATCCTCATTTGATGTGAAAGCATACTTAACCTATCACATATATCATAAATCTTAACATGCAGGGGAAGAAGAAAAATAATCATAAATGCTAATTATAAAGATACAACAAAACACCACATACGAACTATAAGAGTCACAAGGACAGAAGGCTATCATATATCCCATTCTCATGTGCAACCATAGGACCCAACTCAGCAAACAAAGGCATAAAAGAGAACTAACGAGCACCAATGTAAGGATGTCAGTGCACACCTGGGTCACAAACTTTTGCCATTTCTTTGATTTATCTTTACAAGAGCCCAAAGTACCACTTTTAGAATCTTCCCCAACTTTGTGAACAACGACATCTCGGCTAGTCATTTTATCAACCTCCATCAAGCGCACAGCCTCAATAACAGCTCGCCTTTGTTGCCCAGGTCCATATAGAAGGAATTCTGAGGTGCGACCCAACCTAGTTCAATACCAATAACATATAATTAATAACAACAAGTATTACAAATAAGTATAGCAACAATATACAAGCAAATTTTCATTCATTGAAAAGGCACAAACAATTATTGGCCAACAAGAACCCATAGTATACTCATAATATACATCTCCCAGGATTAAACAAGTATATGCCTAACAAGAACCAGTAGTACAATAGTAATTTACAACTTCCATGAGACACAATTTGCATACTTTTCAGCATGTGAACGACATAGTTGCAGGCCGAATGAGTGGAATGTGCAAATTGTAAGTTCTTTTGCAACTGGTTTCCCAGCCACTGATCCAATCCTCTCCCGCATTTCAGATGCTGCAGCAGTTGTAAATGTCGTGGCTAGAATGTTTGAAGAACCAATGCCCTAACAATATTTTAAGAACAACAATTAGCAAAGATAATATGTAAAAAATCATCTATAGAAAAAATACATGGTTACAGCTGTTACCTCTTTTAATAATGTCAATATGCGAGCCACCATTGTCGAGGTCTGACATGAAAAATTGAAATCCAAATTTTAGAAAATCAACCATCGTAGAAACAAAAAGTGGAATGTACATATAGAAAATCATCATACAAAAAGCAAAAACAGAACACAGAGTTCATGGAATCATGATAAACCAACCTTTCCACTACCTGGACCTGCTAATATCAATAGTGGTCTTTCAATGTCACTGGTGGCTGCCTCCTTCTGCATATCATTCAGTGATTTTAAATATTCAGAATATGCTTGTGCATCAGTTGCACTTCCTTCACCTAAACTTAAAGATGGATTGGTTGAATCATCATGGTTAACCACAGTTGAAGTCATTGAATGATTAGAAAAACTCTCAACATTTCTTTTGACATCAGACTGATTTGGTGACCTGGAATTATCTTGAACATCTGCTGAAATCGAAGCATGCTCCCCTCTATCATGCATAGTACTCAGTCCATTATGAAGTGACTTCACAATACTCTCATCAGCTTGAAATTTCACAGAAGCACCAAGATTACAGGAAATAACACTAGTATTGACAGAATTCTGAGAGGACACCATAATTTGACCAGAAAGATTGCTATGTGAGAAACGTCTCCGTTCCTTCTTCATGGTGCTTTGTTGTTCACATAAGGCATCAATTTCTTTCAAAATAGAGTCATCAAACTCCTCGTCAAAGAAACTTACTGGAGAAAGAGTATCATCAACACTGTGACGAACCGATGGCACCATAGGAGTAGCCAATGTTGTTGAGATACAATCTCTGACAATTTCGGTACGAATTTTAGCAGGGGAATTCATTTCACTGGTGGGATTGCCTCCAGGGAACGACTCAATATGCTCAAATCTAAATGGGTGGCCTCCATTTGAAGGCCTTGAATCCCATGTATTTGTCTGTATTTCTGAGAGAAGAGGCCTGGAAACTCGATAGGGTTGTCCCAAATTTTTGGCATTTTCATTCCTGAGAGCATGTGGGGAATAGAAACAAACCAATTTGATATCAACACAACATTCGCACGCATGACATTAGATAACACAAGAAAGAAAATAAAATTTTGATGCAGTTGCGAGTAGGGATGCAAAAAAATAAAGTACATGTTATATAACCAATATTCTAAAGTCAATTAGCCGAAAACAAGAGTCTCATAGGATGTCTGCATAGCCAATTAATGAGTGTACAGCCTATGGTGGAAGCATTCCATGTTGAACCAGGCTCACAACGAAATACAATCATGGCCTTGGCAGTTGGGTACATGAAACAATTTCTCAATCTACCCAAGAAAAAGAAAAGTATTGAATCTCCAAAGAAACATGAAAAAATACAAGTGCAAGCAAAGAGAGTTAGAAGGCCTCATGTTACATAGCACCATTAGGCAACAGACTCAATCACAATGGATCAGTTTCAACAGTCTCGTGATAAGCATGTTAAGTAATACCAATTTCTTTGGCAGGTTAACACATGGGATTGAGGGATGACTTTTCTATTTATGTGATACAAATATGAATGAGTGTATAGCCTATAACCATGCCTATAAATGGCCACGACTTTTCTATTTAATGAGTGTATAGCATACGGCCATGGTTATAAATGGAAGCAATCCATGTTGAACCAGGCTTGCAACACAATACAATCATGGCCTATAGCAGTTGGGTACATGAAACAATTTCTCAATCTATTCAACAAAAAGAAAAGTATTTGCAACTCCAAATAAACATGAAAAATACAAGTGCAAGCAAAAAGAGACAGAAGCCCTCAAGTTACATAGCACCATTGGGCAACAGACTTAAATCGTAATGGATCAGTTTGAACACTCGTGATAAGCGTGTTAAGTAACACCAATTTCATTGGGAGGTTAACACATGGGATTGAGGGATGACTTCTCTATTCATGTTATGCAAATATGAACTATAATTGATGATGATAATGTACCACAGTGCTGAACAAAAATAAAGAAATAACACTGCACTATATTGATCCACATTATCACTACTTAGGTTTAAAGAACAACAGTATTTGAACAATCTTAAGATATCAAACAAGCCAATGCTAAGTAAACATGAAAAACATAATGAACAGAAATAACAGAAAGAAAATAATCCATCAATCAAATTCCAGATCGATATTATATTACAAATGAATTAATCTCTAATATTTATCAAGCTTTGCCAAAACTTATTAAACTCTACCATTTATATAAATTATGAGATGAATTCAAAGTGAAGGAACACATTTCATGAAGGCTTCAAAATTCAAACCAATCGAAATGCACTCAAACTGCAATAGGACATAACATCTTTGATGAGTTGATGGATTCAAGTGAGAGTTAATATTACCCATACCCAATTGTTCGTATTGACAAGTTCTCCGAGTTTCTTTGGTCAAATTCAGAAACAATTACTTTGCATGGAGTTGAATCATGGCCCGAAACCACAAAGGGCCTTTTGCAAGCATGGAGTGCCTTTGTAACCCTAAAGTTCTGACTGATCTTTGCATTTTGATGGTTGTTCATCTCTCTCTAGGCATTAAAAGATAATTGATAAGCTTTGAATAGCAATGAGCAGTACACATTCATCTGTAAATTATTTTCCGAATCAGAAACCCCTCGTCATGAAAATTCATTATTTGTACTCAGTTCCATGGAAAACTCAAACATACAAAACGGAGTAAAGAAGATGATCATGAAACATTAAGGTTCGCAGAGAAATAAGCACAAAAAAACACAAATGAAAGCAATAGATGAAGAAGACGAAGCTTAGACACAACTAATTTCAAAGAAAAGGTAGCATCGGATAAAATTTTGGGTCTGCAGAGAAGATAAATTAGGGTTCGAGGAGTTTTAGAGAAGAGTTAGGGTTCTCATTGCGTGGCTCAAAATGGAGGGAAATGCAACGGCCTTCGAAAACTTTGAATACGAGGAAGCTTATTTCCCTTGTAGCGTACTGAAGAAGCTGGATGACAGTTTACAATTATTTCCCTCTCATAAGATCGAATTTCGGAAATAACCCCAGCTTTATTAACGTTTTCAAGAGCGTGAAAGAAGCTAGCGCCGGGCGCGAGATTTTGAAAACCCACCTCGCATGTTGGGTTGAGAGTCGGTCGGATTAGATCCGAATTTGGATTCGAAAAATGTATATAGGATTTGGATTTGGATCCAATAAAATATTTTATATATTATTTTATGAAGAATGATTTTATGAGATCCTCCCGCATCACATGTGTGTAGGATTTTAAATGATTACCATTAAATTTGGCACATATATCTAAAAAAGTTATTATAGATGTGGGATTTGATTTTTCTAAAGATATATGTCAAATTTAATGGTGAACTTTTTTAGTCATATACACATAGATATGGAAGGGTCTCACAAGGTCATTTCTTTTATCTTATACTTATATAATATATATATAATATTTAAATAGCGTTGTACTTGAGCCCTATCTAAAATAATATTCACTATTCAAATTTAAATTTTGGATTTGGATCCGATATGTAATTTAAATATTAAATCCATATAAGATCCAAACCGGGTAAATTATTAGCCCTACTTAGCCCTTCAAATAAAGGTACAGTAGATAAACATATTACTCTTGTTTTTTCTTTGAACAATTGTTTCATGCGGGCTGGACCGCATTTGTACAATATGTGGTCCAAAGGTATAAAGTATCCATCTTAAAGATGGATTCAAATAGGTGGTCCATCTAAAAACAATTATAACTAACAATTTGAATGTTTTCTTAATATAACTATAACTTCTATCTTTCAAATTTTATTTATTTTTTCATATTCATGATCTTCATGTTAAAGATTATATCTTATCTAAAAACTAGGATCAAATTATTTTTAAAAATATATATTTATTGCCAAGCCTGCATTGGTAAGCTTGGCCGCATGCTAACCACGCGCCTCTTTTTTTTTTTTTCTCTAGCAATGGTAATTTTTTGGGTTCCATCAAATAAATTTAAAATTTATTGGCAGTGTATATAAATTTGTACGAAGTGAGAAATGTAAAGTATAGCAAACAAAAAGTCGAGCCTTCCAAAATTCCTCATTTCATTGGATAAGTAATGTGGTATAGGTTTATCTCTTTTATCTATCCCTAATCGTGGCTGGTGGAGATGTTAAGTACAAATGCACGGTTATGAGGGGACTTTTGACCACTTCTTTACACACGTCCACCATGTATACATAAGTTGATTCCTAGATGTCCCATGTCTTGATATAAGTAAACCGGTCTTATTGTATCGGTCCAAAATCTCAATCATATCAATTTTGATATTTTATTCATAAGATGTAGAATTTGTATTTGGGTGTAGTTTGTATAGAGTCGAAGTTCTAAACAATCAACTTAGAGCCCATCTTCAAATAGTATCAAAAATGTAATTTCAATACTGACAATCTTTGTGATAGCTTTAAAATATACTTTTTATCTTTAATAATAAAATGTAAAGCTTAAAAAATAGTGCAGATCAAACATATCTATGAGAACTTGAAAATATTGAAAATTAACAGTCAAAAAATGCTTTACAATATGTACTATTTCCAAAAGGTGAAATCCAATCTTTTCTAATATCCATGCATCTTGATGTTGAGATTATCTATTTGAGGATATTTGGGCACCAAAACAACCTCTTCTAGTGAAATTTTTTATGTAAGCTCTAATTTGATTGCTTAGAGCCTCGGCTCTATATAAGCTTTTATTTTTATATTTTGTACATGGAAGTCATAATCATTATTGTCCCATAAATTTCAAAATGACACAGTTAACATGCAGTTAGCTCGCATATTGTAGAAATGCGGGCTTGGCAATAAATATGTTGTTTAAATATAATTTGATCCTAATTTTTAGAGAGTATATAATATTTAACATGGAGATCATGAATATAAAAAAAAAAAACTGAAAGCTATTTATTATATTAGTAAAACATTTGAACCATTAGTTACCATTGTTTTTAGATGGAGCCACCAATTTGCATCCATCTTTAACATGGATGCTTTGTACCTTTGGGTCACATATTATAGAAATGTGGTCTAGCTTGCATGAAACAATTGTTTATTTCAAAATGGGTGGTTGTAAGAATGTTGTTGAATAGGCACAAAGTTCAAAAAAAAAATCTCAAACTTCATGACTCACTGCAAACCGTCAAATTTGACAAGTGGAAAAAATTATTACTTTTTAGAATGGGGTTGAGGCCATGGTGGTAGCATCACTTGTATCCCAAGTAAGGTCTATGCTTCTATTGTCATCTAACGCATTAAAAAACCACTAATGATTTAAAAACAATTAGGGGCTCGTCATTCCCACTGAATTACCCAAAAAAAATGGTTATGACTTCCATGTTAGTTGAAAGATAAATGATCTATTTGTTAGCAATCCCAAATAAGTATGTAAGTTGCATACATTTCTTCATATCTCGACTCTTATGGAGTCATGTTATTTGCTAAAATTGATAAAAATCGTTCCTTTGCACGTTATATATATATATATAGATAGAAGGCCTGTTTGTTTTGTTTTTTCTCCTTCTACTATTACTTGTCAGGTTTTATCATTATTTTCTTCCATTATTTGCAATTCTCATCTATTGGATAAAAGATCACATTTGTAATGTTTGCTAAGTTTTTATTTTTATGACTATGTAATAACTCATTGAATGCAAATTTGGTCTCTTGCGGTCAATTAATCAGTTTTCATCATACGAATGAGAATATTTTTTTGTTTTAATCGTTATTTTATTATGTACGGTTCATTAACAGTAGGGAAAATAACCTCTAACCCCCTCTCCGAAATTTCCATCCCTGTTAGCCTTTGGGTTCACCAAAATCTCTTGTACCCCTCAAGTTTTAAATTTTGGAACGGTTAGCTTTCTAAATATGTTTTTCTTTGTACTTTTTACAAATTTGATATGTTTATTTTACAAAACGCCAAACCTTTACATTATTCGTCAATTTCCTTTCCTTTCTCTTCCGTTGCCTAAAACCAATCTTATCTCCGTAGACCCCACTCCATAAATTCAGACACGAAAAGAAAATGAAAATTGTGTTTTTTTAATATTATGACCAATTTCATAATTGCATCAATATCTTTTGAACTTGGAAAATGATTAGTCAAGATCTTTATTACTATCATTGATGGATAGTTATTATTTATTTATTCATTTAATTGAAAAAATTAGATCTAATTGAATATATTTTATGATAAATAACACTATAAGGAATCAAAACCCTATAATATTAACATATTATGTGCAAATACTTGAATACAATCGATTGAATGGCGGAAAACCGAACTTCTTACTTGTTTTTCCTGCAACCGTGGCTTCAAATCCAAATAAGAGTTGTGATGGATCAAAATACTCACAAGGTATAATTAGTTTATTCTAATAACACTATTAAGATCAATAACCCTCATATTTTATAAAAAATGATGCCCTATTTTGCTTGAAATCAGAAAAATGGCAGAAACCTAAAAAAACACGTTGTTCTTCACAAATCCGCTGATTTGTGATTGAAATTGAATATTTCAATTCCAATTTATCGATTGATAAGGCTGAAAAGCTAAATAAAAAAGCTGAAACATTCGATTCACATGCTGAAAAAGCACAACAATCATAAAAAAACTGCCAAAATTTGATGATTCCCATCGCAAAACACTGTTCACATGTGTTTGAACAGTGACTCGGGCGATCTACTGTCCAGAATCGCCCTGTTCTCTCTAGACACGGGCGATTCTCCATGTTTCGTTGGATCTTGGCACAAGTACGCTGATTCCCAAGTCGAACCGTGCGAGCCCGATTTGACACGCCGACTTTTTAAACATTGGTTCAAACTTTAAAGGGTGCAATTTGCATACAGATGCATCCGTAGGTGTAGAGGTAAGGTGCACCTTCAAATTTTATCACGATATATAATTTTGATGTAAAATGTTCTTAAGATTATCTCAAAATCTATTTTTATATCTAATTATAAAATTTTAAATTTAAAAAATGTTTAAAATCAAGTAAATCTATAAACATATGAAAATCTTGAAAATAGACGGCGTAGATAATATGTTGTAAAATATACTATTTCTAATAATAAAAATCTTTTTATTTTTCATAACCATATATATCGATCAATCAAAAGGTTTTTCAACAATAAAACTACATTTTCCGATATATTGTTTGAGCGGCTTCCGTAGTTCTACGTTATAAGGTACCATCCTCATATAAATTTTTTCCAATCTTTAAAAGTAGGGAAGACATTTATGGGGGGATTCTTTAAGTCACACCAACTTCATGGAGTTTCTAGGGTACACGATATACAATTAGGGAATCCACCATCCATAATCAATGACAGCCAGAGGATATTCAGCATGATGTCCGGCTTCCCTGGCAATACTTCATTTCAGAATTAGAAAAATCACCTGTTTGAATCGGAATCGCTTGGTTTTGATCGGAAGGTACATGTACTTCCGGGAATCACCGAGGGTAGACTGGTTAAATGGAATCAATTAAAAAACAAAAAAATCTCAAAATATCGTACATGTACATAAAATATAAAAAATGGCGAGTATGTTTTTTAAAAGAAAAAATTTATATAAGGTTGCAACATTAAAATGTAGGATCAAAGATGCACCTCAAAAATCTATTAAAAAATGTTAGTTTTATTGTTGATAACCCTTCTAATTGATCATCTTGACATCGAGGTGTATAAATAAGAAACATAAAAAATAAAAAATTGAATCTTATAAATAGTACATCTTGCTATACATTATCTAGACCATCCATTTTTAAGATTTTCATATGTTTATAGATCTAATTGATTTCAACTATTTTTGAAATTTAAAATTTTTATAATTAGATATGAAAATAGATTTGAAATAATCCTTTTAAACCAATATCACATGTTATAATAAAACTTGGAGGTGCGCCTTAATTGGATTGTT